GCCCCTGGGATTTCATATAATAATGACTGGTGATAGCTATGCTTCAAGGGACAAAAAACAACCCCCAGGGTAACTGCTTCCCCATCCTCACTAGGCCAGTGAACCTTATAAGTCAGAAACAAACGGAAGTCAATCCATCCATCCTCCACCTGCTTTCACGGGATGGTTTGGAGACTATCCCAGGCAGCAGGAGTATAACAGGGGGAGCAGGATTCCAGTCCACCGCAGGGTGCCAGGCCGGGGTACACCCTGGACGGGGTGCCAGTCCACCCCAGGGCGCCAGGCCGGGGTACACCCTGGACGGGGTGCCAGTCCACCGCAGGGCGCCAGGCTGGGGTACACCCTGGACGGGGTGCCAGTCCACCGCAGGGCATCAGGCTGGGGTACACCCTGGACGGGGTGCCAGTCCACCGCAGGACACATAGACAGCGGGCAACTTAGACTTGCAGATTCATCTCACTGCACATCTGTGGGGGAAAACAGAGAAGGCGGATGAAATACACACAAAAAAGTGAAAATATGAAAATCCCACACATAGAACAAGATTCAAAGCCACAACCCGGAAGGTGTGAGCCACCATATTCCCCTAAAAGCATTTAGGAAAAAAGTTCTAGAAAATTCTGTTTAAAAAACCAAGTCAGCCACAGGTAAGGAAAAAAATGCATAGCTACATAAAACTGGTCCCAGGGCCACGACGTCGCTGTCCTCACTAGGCAGAGGAACCTTAAAAGTGTGACTAATCCTGTAAAAATGTAATTATATTTCCTGTGCAACATTTAAAGGGGTTAATGACACTTAAAGGAAAATTAATTTCATCAGTATGCTCACAGAGTAGCTGGAGCAGGCATGAAGGTAAATTTCTCCTTGTAAAAGTGCAAAGACTATTTTTCATTCCTTCAAAGTAACCTCAAAGCTGAGTTCACACTCTCTGCTGGTTCTTCCCGAGTCTGCAGAAAGCGCTCCGATGCAGAGCACCCACAGATCTCCACACTGTCCTTGGGGAACGTTTCTCTCCTCCAGAGCTTCCAGAGAGGAGAACCTGGGACAGACCCAAGACACACTGGAGGGATTATGTTTCTCAGATGGCCTGGGAGGACCGGAGTATTCCACTGGAGGAGTTGGAGGTGGCTGGGCACCACACTGCTGCCCCCACAACCCACACCTGGATAAGGGGTAGAAAATGGATGGATGGATGGATGGATCCAGGGAGTGTCAGGCAAGGACCCCTGCATATATTTGTATGAATTTACCAATAAATATGCGAGCCTTAATGTATCTATGAACAGCTGTGAACTGACTCAAGAAGGGGAAGTAAATGTTGCCACGTAAATCAATACATCAATACTTCTGTGTGTCCTGTTCTCTTATTCAACATTCCTTTATTCCTTTATATGTTACATACATAGCTGCACAAGTACGACATATAGTCAAATGAGATGTGGCCATGTTATTCAATGATTTCATATCGTTAAGTAAAGTCTCATACCAGCAGTTGACTTGTTTTTGCATCCCCATGTCTTAACTTATAGGGAATTACATCTCCGTACAGGAATTCTTAGTTCATTTTTTCGAGGGGTGATGGATTTCCGAAGAAGGGAGTTGCTTCTTCCCCTGGGAATCAGAGCTGGGCCACACGCATATTGGACAGGAAAAACCCGCCGTTTACGGGAAACGGGACAGAAAACCTGCTCGCTTGCAGCTCGGTTGAGTGGCCCAGCGATGAGGCCGCTGGGAGTCTGACATGCTCAATCGACACATGATGTCAACTGTTAAAACTAAGAACGTTTTTTACACTAGCGGTTAGATTGTCAAAGGTGTCATTTTTTATGAGATTGACTGCGATTGTGAGATTCAAACGGATGGGAATAAGTCAGCGGAGCTGGCTGCCATTTAACGTCTAGAATTTATACAGGATGCAGAAAACCAGAATCTGGAACCTTCCTTTCTTCTTTGATTATTGTTTTTATTTTTAGTTAGTTGCTTAGCACTGGCTTATATCAAAATGTCCTTCCATGACATATACATTGATAGAGCTGAATATAAATCTGGTGAGATTCGCTTGATCGGGTCTCCAGCCGTGACAGATTGTCTCCAGAGGGTTAGACAGGCCAGTCACCAGACCTAACAGAGCTTTAATCAGCGGCCCACTCCACCTACCCACAGTAGGCAGGTCCACTTAACCGGTCAAAAGGACCCCTGGGGGCTGTCCATGGAAACCGCCCGATTAAGCAGCCACCCACGGCTATGGGTATGACTGATTGGCCCTCGTTTATCTCACTCAAACCTTGGCAGCCCTGCGCTCCATCTGTGGTGTTGGCAACTCCCTTCCAACACCCCCCACCCCCAGAGCCTCCTCACGTATGCCAAAATAACTCCTGGACACAAAACAGCCTGGGTTTTCGAATTAGCCCTTTCACCAGGCCAGAAGTAACCTCCTGTCCTGCATATCTCAGGCAGTATGAAACCAAACCTTCTCTTAGCACATGGACTGTCAACTGCTCAGACCTGGATACGTTTAACCCCCGAGGAAAGGGCTGATTGTCCCCCATCAGAACCCAAATCAGAATCGAATGTAGGCAAGCATGCCACCACATGAGCTCTGCCCCGCTCAACATGAAACGAAAACATTGCGCTCAGCGGTGAAACAAACGAGGAGATTACTCAAACAGGTAAAGAAAACACTGGGCAATTCTGGCGTAAAATTAGTGAAGAGTGTCAAAATAGCAGAACATAGACAAGAGGCGCATAAATTAGATTTTCATCAAGTGCATTTTGGGTAGAAATCTGTAACAGCTGGGAGGCCTGAAGTGTTTCTATTACTCTGGGTTATTTTTAAGTCTCCATTATCCATAGTAATGGCAAGTTAGGAAAATCAGCTTTTCGTTTATGTGACATAGAATCAAAGTAGATCCGAGAATGATTGTTATAAGAAATTTTTATAAAAACAAAGGTTTTTATCGGGAATTAACAGGGGATGAGAAACAGATACTGAGGCCTTGCAAAATAATCAGCTTATTCTGATGTGCAATAATAATTTCTTGCGTTATTCAAAACAGAACAGTAATATAAAGCGCTATGTTGGAGAAAAAGTCTTCTGTTGTTTTTATAAGCAAGGGGAACTGGCCGCATTCCTCTGCGTTATTTGAAATCCGCGTAACAGGTGGTGCTGAGTTCTTATTAACTTAAACATGCTTTAATTCTGCAGATCCAGCGGCAGCAACTGCTTTGAGCATCAAGGATCTCCTGCGATGGTTAGAATCTGCAAGCAGGGAATCTGCCCTTCAGACTGCTCTGCCAGCGATTTGTCTTGTCTTAAGGCCGTGTCGGGAAGTGGCCAGCAGGGGGCCCCACGGGAAGCGGGCGATCTCGGCGCAGGCCCTCCTGCGGCTTCCGCGCATGGACAGCCTGTGGCCCGTGCTGGCAGCACACGGCTGGTCAGGGAAAGGCTTGAACTTGGAATGACCCCGCAGAGCTCAATCCCTGTTGAGTTCATCCGGAGGCCAACTCCGATTCTTTCCTGTTTTTTTTTTCCTCTTGGATAACACAAAGCACGTTCAAGCTCAGTTCCATCCCCCATCCCACTAATATCCCTCTCCTTGCCCTCTTTCACTTACTTAGAACGCTCCGGAGGAGGAAAGCGCTTCGTGAATCTAGAAGCTTCTGTAGGGCATACTTTGGCGTCCCAAAACTGGTCTGGAGCCAAGTGCTGGTTACATATGCACAAGGAAGGGGCAAGAAGTGACAGAACAAAGAACCAAAGATCAATGCAGCCCCCATCTCCTTAAGCGAAAGAGTGATTTTTAAATCACCCTCACACTGAAAGGGTAAGGACACATCTGGTTAACACCCTGGCGCTTTCTGGGAACTTTAGTTTGACTTGAAACATGATTTCACCCATTTAAACAGCTGGGTGTTTTTACTGCAGTAATTCAGAGTAATTATTCAGCTAAAGGGTACAAGTGGGATAGTCCTCCTGGGATTTGAATCAGCAGACCCCAAGGTACCAACATCGACGGGCATCAGAAACAGAAGCATAATCGGTACGACCCCCGTCGGGCTGTAAAACCAGTCCCACCAGCGCCGCTGACCCTGTCGCGGCAGATTGCGAGATGGTCCCACTCGTGCCCCTGCACTCGGGCAGCGCGCCGCCGGGCACCTGGCTAACGGCGGGGGCGCGTGCCTTTTTTCGCGCGACCTGCATTTCCATTAGCTACCTTGGCGTGGAATTTTAACGAGGCAGATCGTCGTCTCTTGGCACCAGCCATGATTTTAAAGAGCTGAGTGCTCTCTGCACATTGCTGGCGAGCTCTGCACCTACAGTAACACACTGGAAGTGTCTGCGAGGGTTTCCCCACATGCAGACAGCGGTTACACTCTCCAGGGCTATCGGAAGGAGGCGAGAGGGATTCCGGGAAGGCCGTCCCCATTAAATGATCTGTCAATAGTGCAAACTGTCGCATCGCAATTGTCTAAGCTGACATGAGGTTCCAGGAGGGACTAAACTAGCAAGGTAGGACATCAAACTAGGGGCTTCTCTCATATTGGGGGTGTTGAGGGAGAAAACAGCTTTATTTTAGGACGCTGGGAGCCGGTCTCCTCTCTCCGTGTAGACGCACACACGGAGACACACGGCCCTGGGGTTTGGCAACTCCTGAGGGCACAAAGAGGCCTGGGAACATTGCCTGGGTCCTGTCTTGGTCAAGAGCTAGGACAAGGATCTCCATCAGGACCTGCCAGCCCGACCATGACTAATGAACTCCGGGCCCAGGGGGTGGATAATCCGCCCAGCCGGTGGGAAAGGGGCCGGGGAAGAGAACGGCTGACATGGAGCTGGAGGCCGCTGAAAGACAGGGATTTAGCTGGCGACGGAGAGCGGCTTGCTGGGACACTGATCCAGGGGTGGGAGAAGGAACTCCGATGGGCATCGAGCCAGAAGGACTGGCCTGAGTACAAAAAGGCCGCGAGTACAATTCACGGACCGCTCCGAGTACTCCGTGGGCCTGAAAAAGCAGGTGTGAGTACTCTATAGGCCTGAGAAACAGAGTGTGAGTACTCCACAGATCTCATAAACAGGGTTTTGAGTACTCAATCAATTACTGCAGCATTATACAGGCCACAGCTGAGGCGCCGCACCTTGTTATACCTCGATGCTTCATATTCTAGGCTCAGCCATCAGCAGACTGAATATATTACAGAGGCAATGCACTTTACCTTTTCTCCACTGCGGCATCGAATCAGCGAAGGCAGGGTAAGAATATCAGCCAAGAGCACGAAATATAAACGCGCTCAGAAACAGCTCCAAAGTAACCGTCACTGCTCTGACCCACTCGGGGGACAGGAATGTGCTCAGACACCCACACATACACAAGCACGCACACACAGAGACACACGCGCGCATGCACCGACGCCAGCCCCAGCAGACACGAGGTTTACAACCCATGATAGAACACCTGGTCCAAACACACTGGCCGTTCTTTCCCAGAACTCACTGGTTCGGGGGGGGGGGCGACTCCTCGGAACGCACAGGCCAGTGCCCCCCCACAGCATTGTTGTGCGCACACATTGCTGAGGAGAGCTTCTCCTGCACCCCCCTCCTACTCAATGCTTGGGGAAACTGCACATTAGCTTACAGCATCCATTCAGGGGTAGGACTGGGACTGTCAGGCGATATGCAACACTGACCTGCAGGTTTTACCAAATGCCCTCCCCAAATGAAACAGGATGGGAGTGAGGTGGGGGGGGGGTTGGGGGCTTAGAAGCAAAGACACAAGGGCCGGGAGATTCGGCCAGCATGCAAAACAGCCCTCACCTCATCTTTTTCACAGATGTCACTGCAGTCTTGTTGCGATCGCAGTGAGGCAGTCACCTATGGTCCTCTGCAGAGTCATGTGACCTTATCAGTTTGTGATGAGAAGGCAAAGAGGAACGTACCAAATATGTAAAATTCCTTTTGATAAAGTCATATTTCATTTTTACATGTTCACTTACCAGCATTCCTAAGACCTTTATGAATACAATTGTACTTCTCAATTACAGCCAACATGCCCTGCATGTATTCAGTTGATATTTGCATGTATATTTCTTTGCTGTGGTTTCTTGGACGTATTACAGCTTGGTGGATAATGTAGTTGCTAGTGTCTGGTTGGGCATAGGTACTGGAATCAGAAAGTTTAAAATTAGATCATGCTTGTAGGAAAGAATAACAAGGCCATGGGGGGGGGTGGATGTTGGTGAAACAGTGCCAGAAAAAAATTAGGACACAATTAAAAGGCCGGGGAAACATAAACTGCAGCCTAAAAAAGAATTTTGTACTTCAAAATGGCTTCCGCATTACTGTGGGGCCGGTTTCTGTGTTTTTAATTCTGAATGGCTCCCCCCCAAAAAAAAATAAGTCATCAAAATTCACTCTGGAGATATACTACCTCTGCCTAGTGAAGAGGAGCCCATTACCACTGACCTCCAGCTGTCAGGAGTGTGAGAAAACGCATGTAAAACCAGAGCTGAGTGAGACGCAAACAGCTGAAGAAGCAGCTAGAGCACTTCCGCCCCCTTGCGGCCAAAAATCTATAATGTCCATAATACGATTTTACGGAAAAAACGCATTTTCTACACATTATTATGCTGTAGATGTAGCGGAGCAAAAGTTAATTAAGAAAAAAGCTAGTGTCCAGTAATCTGGGATACCATATTGTGAAAGTTTGGCAAGATAATTAGACGTATTATTCAAAACTGTAATGGATTTCATCTAGTCTATATTAGATATGACACTTTTGAATGATTCGAATATATCGGCAATGTGTAGAAAGCTGACAGTTCTGCGTTTCTTTTCATCAGTAAGTTGCAGCAAAGTGGACGCTCTGAGTTTTTTGGCAACGATGCACTGTATTATGTGTATAGTGCAGAAAAACCCCCCATAGCTTATTAAGTAGGCAATTACAGTAATTTCGCGTTTAAATCGACGTATCACATTTGCAAATATTATTTAGGAAAAACTTAGCGGTCATTCACCCGCGCTACATATATTTTAATGCTTACTGCGTTAAAACGAAGGCTTAGACGAGGTTACAGTGAAAGCTATTGGGATGCATTTATTACAATTGCGTAGGTGAGAGTTTGATGTGTATGTGTGTGTGGTTGGTGGGGGGGAGGGGTCCACAACTTAATAATGTAAACGCAAAAGTCTATTAATTAGGTGCATGAATGAAACCAAATGAAATATTTCCTACGCACCCGGTTTATTACGGGGGTGCTGCACTGCAGTTTCACAGAAACGCAAAAGCAGAAGCTGGAAAGGAACGAGACGCCATGGGTCACATCTGGGAAAGTGGATGTACCGCAGGCCTGGGGAGTCTAGCTATTGAAAATATCAGGGGCTATATCACGTTTACCTGGGGCTTGATTTTTTTTTTTTGTTTTTTTGTTTTGAAGAAAGATTAACATCGGAGCTCAAATACTCCGGGCTGTAGCCCCCAGTGATCGGACTTAACGATCACTGGGGGATCACTGTAGTGTTAAGCTCGTCACATAAGACAGATAACGTGTGCGATTGGGCTAATTAACTTAATTGTGTGTTTGTCTGTGTGTGTGGGTCATGTGTAAATAGGATCAAATATCCCCACAATATAATTAAAACCTGATATTTTTTCGGTCCCCAGAAGGGGAAACTCGATTTTATAAAAATCTGAGACTGCAATCATAGATCTAAAAATGCCAGAAGTCTTTTATTTTAAAGTCTTTAAATTGCAGACAGTATGTAATTCTCTGTGTGTGTGTGTGTGTGTGTGCGTGTACGTGTGTGTGTGTGTGTGGTCCAGGTAAACAAATGTCCCACAATGTGATAAAACCCTGTTATTTTTTCGGTCCCCACAAGGCAAAACTTTTATAAAAATCCAAGCTATGAATACGAATGTATGTGTGTGTGTGTGTGTGTGTGGAGCGTGTGTGTCTGTGTGTGTGTGGAGCGTTTGTGTGTGTGTGTGTGGAGCGAGTGGGTTTACCTATCCTTATGGGGACATAATGTCCCCATAATGTGATAAATATCCTTTTTTTTCCCTTATGAGTTTTGCCCTCAAAACTCTATTTTATAAAAATCGGTGACTGCTATGAAAAAACTAAAAATGCAAAAACTCTTGTATTTTGTTTGGTTACTTATGGTTATGGTTAGGGCAGGGTAGGGGTTAAGGTTGTCATAGTTAGCGTTAGCATTTTTCCCATTGAAATGAATGAGCGGTCCCCATAAGGATATGTTTACCCTACATGTGCATTTGTGTGTGTGTGTGTGTGTGTGTGTGTGTGTGTGTGTGTGTGGAGCGAGTGGGTTTACCTATCCTTATGGGGACATAATGTCCCCATAATGTGATAAATATCCTTTTTTTTCCCTTATGAGTTTTGCCCTCAAAACTCTATTTTATAAAAATCGGTGACTGCTATGAAAAAACTAAAAATGCAAAAACTCTTGTATTTTGTTTGGTTACTTATGGTTATGGTTAGGGCAGGGTAGGGGTTAAGGTTGTCATAGTTAGCGTTAGCATTTTTCCCATTGAAATGAATGAGCGGTCCCCATAAGGATATGTTTACCCTACATGTGCATTTGTGTGTGTGTGTGTGTGTGTGTGTGTGTGTGTGTTCTAAATCGGTACCATAAGTTAAAGTAGGGCATTAATAGAAAGTCCACAGGGACTCTGATGAATCTGTGTAGCGAAGAGATTCTTCCAGTTGCCTGGGAAGGTCTGTTGAGTCAATCCAGATAAAACTTCGACAAACGGGGATGGGCAGTTGGGGTGGGGGAGATAAATAATAGTCTCCTTCCATTACCCTGACTACGCTGTAAATATTGGGCGATTATTAGTCATTAACCGCGACCGATATCATTTCGAAACAGCTTGTTGGAGGTCCTGTCCCCTCGCATGGGGAACAAGGCATTTAGCAGTGACCTGCCGCCCAGACAGCTGTCCAAAAATAGTTTCTGAAAATGAGTTCCGACGGCGGTGAAACTTACCACAAGACCGTGGAGATGTTAGGGGGGCGTGAAAGGGCGTGTTTTCAGGGTTGCTGGTCAAATACACTCTTACAAATTAAAGTTATGTCATCGTATCTATTTATACAAGACTTTGTATAACTGCTGTATCAGACGCAAACTTAATAACAAAAGAGTCTGCCCTATATTGATATTTAATGTGACTTTTACCAGAATTTAATCTTACTGATAGTTACAGTATCAATATAAAGGTGAAGAGAGGAGCTAAGTATCAGCTGATCAGCACCTGGTGGTGAGTTGGATCCGATGCCGGCTAGACCTGGTAGAACCAAAAGCATAGGGAGGGTTTGCTGGGAGCATCTGGTGGAGGCCCCTGTCCAGGAGATCATCATCTCACACCTCCAGCAGAACTTCTCTTCTCTCCTGAGGGAGTCAGGGGACATGGAGCCTGAATGGGCCATATTCCGGCGCTCCGTTGCTGAGGCGACGGTGTGGAGCCGCGGCTGTAAGGCTGTTGGTGACAGTTGGAGCCGCAATCCCTGAATCCCGTGGTAACACCAGCAGTAAAGGGAGCCGTGAGACTGAAGAAGGAGGCCTTCAGGCCTTGGTTAGCTTGTGGGACTCCAGAAGTAGCGAACATGTACCGACAGGCCAAGTGGGAAGCGGCTTGGCTGGTTGCTGAGGAAAAAACTTGGGAGTTTGGTGAGGTATGGAGAAGAACTTTCAGTCAGCCTTGAAAAGGTTCTGGCAAACCGTCAGGTCACTCGGGGGGGGGGGGGGAGCAGGGATTCACTAATGCTATCTACAGCAGGGATGGAGGACTGTTGACCTCAACTGGGGATGTAGTCGGGCGGTGGAAGGAATATTTCGAAGTAGAGCTGAATGCTCACTAATGCTATCTACAGCAGGGATGGAGGACTGTTGACCTCAACTGGGGATGTAGTCGGGCGGTGGAAGGAATATTTCGAAGTAGAGCTGAAAGACATGGAGTAGGACCATCTCTGGGGCTGAGGTCACTGAAGTAGTCAGTAGTCGGGGACAGCGCTTTTGGATTGGCAGACTGGGGTGATGGTCCCAATCTTTAAGAAAGGAGACCAGACGATGTGTTCCAACTTTAGAGGGCTCACACTCCTCAGCTTCCCTGGGAAGGTCTATGCCAGGGTGCTGGAGAGGAGGCTCTGTCCCGCAGATTCCGTCCTGGTCGCGGAACACTGGACCATCTCTTTACCCTCGCATGGATACTGGAGGGTTCATGGGAGTTTGCCCACCTAGTCTACATGTGTTTCGTGGACTTGGAAAAGGCAAATAACTGTGTCCCTCGAGGGGTCCTGTAGAGGGTACTCCAGGAGTTTGGGGTACGGGGTCCACAGTTGTGGGCCATTAGGACCCTGTACAAACAGAGCGAGAGTTTGGTTCGCATTGTCAGCAGTAAGTCAGACTCGTTACCGGTGGATGTTGGACTCCACCAGGGCTGGATTTCTAAGCAAAGCCAAGGGGCGGAGGGGGTTCGGTTGGGGGGGGCCCAGGATCGCGTCTTTGCTTTTTACAGATGATGTGGTCCTGTTGGGATGTGACCTGCAGCATGCACTGGGGCGGTGTGCAGCTGAATGTGAGACAGCCAGGATGAGGATCAGCACCTCCAAGTCTGAGGCTATGGTTCTCGACTGGAAAAGGGTGGATTGCCCCCTCTCCTGGTGGGGGACGAGTTACTGCCTCAAGCAGAAGAGTTCAAGTATCTCGGGGTCTTGTTCAGGAGTGAGGGGAAATCTGAGCAGGAGATCAACAGATGGATCGGTGCAGCGTCAGCAGTGATGCGAACGCAGTACCGTTCTGTTTTGGTGAAGAGGGAACACTCACATTTCCAGGGCACTTGAAGTCATGCCCTGTTTTTCTTTACACAGAAATGCCGAAAGTCATTGCACAAGGCTTACATGAAAATACTTTTTTTCATTTACCTGTTATAAAATACTACAAAACAAAATATAACTGGTAACTGCCAGTGAAACATCACAGACAGGACGATAGATTCAGGGGGTCCCGCACTTCATAGAGAGCCCAGATCGAGTGAAGCCCCCCCGCCGGTGATCGCTGTCCTTGGAGACCCTTCACCCCCCAGCTAGCTACCTGTTAATCCTTATCTGTAGGACCACC